AGGTGATATTTCATATCGTCATAGCAAATGTTCACACTGACTTACCAAATGTCAGAATAAAACTGATATAGGCGTGAGTATTTCGTTGACGTCAACGTACGGTGGCGACACCTACCAACCATCCAGTGACTTGGGCGCGTCAGTGAATGTTGATTGATCCATTGATTGATTTGACCTCTGTCAATGTTCATTATGGAGACAAATTTTGAACTGTTCTAAAATCCAGTTGTGGTGGCAGTACGTCTTTCCGTATGTAGATAGTTGGACTTCAGATAGCATTAAAGACTACTTATTATCTGACTGAACGGAACTTGATTATTGTTCACAGTATCACTCATCGCTGGAATTCTAACTATTACGCCATCTTGCCGAAGATTAGTCTGAATATATTTCAACAAGTTCGAGACAAATAAAGACTTTTTTTATTGAGAATTCTACACGTATTTTACTTTTCTATATTCGACTTTCTCATTACATCACTAGATGCTTACTTCAATAAAAGGCTATATCTTCAAAAAATCTTTACAGCTCTTAAAATTCTACATTTCAAAAGGCGATTCTTACAAGTTTCCATCAAGTTTCTTATTTCTTTGAAAAGTTTACGTTAATGTCTTCAATAAAAGGATGTAAGATATACTGATTATTTTTTTTCGAAAGTCTCGTTCTTAATTAAAAGGTTCTTACTGGCATAAAATCTCATTCCTTCTAAAAAAAGATTCCTTACTTTTAAAATTATTTTTACTCCAATGAAAGGTTCTTACTTCTATAAAAGATCCTTACTTTAAAATTATTCCCACTTTTTCAATAAAAAAATTCTTATATCCATAAAAGATTCTTATTTTTAAAAAATCCCTAATTTAAAAAAAAAATAATTCTTCAATGTAAGTTTTTACTTACATAAAAGATACTTACATTTAAAATTTCTTTTTTTTTTTCAAAAAGACTTTTCCTTTAATAAAATATTCTGATTGTCTTTACTTTAAAATGTCCCTTACTGTTTCAAAAGATACTTGATTTAATAAATTATTATCAATTGTATAAAATTTATGGATTTATTTTCATGTCAACATTTTCAGAGTAAGAATAAACTTGCCTTTGTGGACTTTGAGGTCGACTGTTCATTGACCGTAACTTGCAAATAGAATGACCCTCATCAGTGATTTTGACATTCAGAGATATAGTGATTGCATTCAAGAATTAAGTCCTCACTGATTTTTTTTTTTTTAATCATGAAACTGAATGTTAAGAAACGAACATCACCAGCTCAAGATCTGAGATAGGTATACTAACCACAGACATTTGAACCGACTCAACCTAGCACTTCTCGTGAATGATTAGAAACAATGTCGTTTGTTCAAGCATTGGCCGCCATTGGCCGTCATCCGCGTATGTCATTAATAATTCAAAATGAATGAAATGCTTACACAAAATTTAGCTTCATTCGGCCAAAACAAAGAAAAAAAAAGTGGGAAGAAAATTGCTTTTGGCCATTTCCCAACAGATTGAACAACATAAATATCGAATTTTATTTCCGAAAATATTTTAAATGGCTAATAATTCAAAAGAATGTAACGGTCCACTAAATAACAATGGGAGCGGGTTATTTAGATTATTTCAGAATAACTGAGAATAAAGGAAATAAAAAATGTTAAAAAGAGGAAATTTTTTTAAAAATAGAATAAAAATGGAATAAAAGAATAGAAAAAAAAGGAGTATTTTAATTTTTTTTTTAATGAAAAGAATTAAATAAAATGAATTAAAATACAAAAACTAAAACTAAAATAAAAGAAAAAATAAATAAAAAGAATATGAAGAATTAAAAAAGAATACATTCAAAATGTGAGAATGTAAAAAGTGAATTTTTGACACACAGACAGACAGTGATATTTATACGGCGTAAGTTTTTTTCTTCAAAATTCTGATGTTGAATCATTTAGTCGATATTAAAACTTCAGCACAACCAATATATATATATATATATATATATATATATATATATATATATATATATATATATATTTCGATCTTTACTAGTTATTCTTAAATCGTGGCAGTATCCTAAGATTATGTTATCTATCCATCAATTTATCTATCCATCTCTCACTCTCTTCCTCGCTCTTTCACTATCTATTAATATCTCATTTTCTTTTTCTCCCTCAATATCTATCTATCTATCTATCTATCTAAATATATATATATATATATATATATATATATATATATATATATATATATATATAGAGAGAGAGAGAGAGAGAGAGACATATATCAATATCTATATATACAAATGAATATCTATATACATGTATAGGTACACGTATACCTACATATCAATATATATATATATATATATATATATATATATATATATATATATATATATATATATATATATATGTATACATACATACATGTGTGTGGGGGATAAGTAGATATATATGTGTGTGTGTGTGAGAGAGAGAGTTAATGAATGACAATATAAAAAGAAACACATTAAGAATCTTTTGCATTTTGACATTTACTAACCCACTATTAGTTTGAGATATATATCCCTGCTCGCCCTACACACAGGCACACATAGACATATATATATATATATATATATATATATATGTGTGTGTGTGTGTGTGTGTGTGTGTGTGTGTGTGTATGTGTGTGTAATGCGTTCGTTTGCACTCATGCACTTGAGAAAAGAATGGATGTTTTTTTCCTCGAAATTTTTTAGTTAAATAGCAGTGAAGAAGGAAATCTTTACTCTTGGGAGGGCCACCACCTTATGAATGATACATTTGACTTGACTTCAAACATATCCCAACCCATCATGATAGTTTAAAGTTCATTATTGCCTCCAAATGACAGACGTGGAGACAGTCCTGAAAAATTACTTTATTATATATATATATATATATATATATATATATATATATATATATATATATATATATATATATATATATATATATAGTGTTTATCATTGTATTGACATACATACTAACCCACAAAACAACATCAAGAAAGACACCAAAAGCATTACTTTCAGTTTATTTCTGTGCGTTTTCGTTGGATAATATTATTTCACTGTCTTGCTCCAATGTCCTAGAGACATTGAGCACTTTGGGTTATTGCCGAGATAAGTGATCCTATTTTTGCCTTTTGTTTTCTTTTTTATCTTTACTTTCCCTTCTTTTGTCGTATATTCTTTTTAGGACCTTTTTTTTTTCTTTTATCATTTCAGTGGGTTTTGTTAGGCAGTCTTAGTGTTGGTTAGGTTAAATTTTGAGGCTTTACCAATAGTTTATTTTATTTATCTATCTTTCTATCTATGTGTGTGGAAAGTGCTCACTAATCGTGATAGAGCTAATATATGCGGTTGCATGTAGAGTTGTTTGTGACCTTAGCCTTCACGTTTTCGCAATCTTCAAACTGGTTCATTTTTTCAAAAGTGGATCTATTTATGCTTTATTTGTGTTTGATTGTTTGTGTTTGTTGGGAGGAGGACACATTTTCTTCTGTTCGTTTGGTATAACACTCACATATATAGAGACACACATATATACAGGCGTGTACATGTTAGTTCATACATACACACATTCTTAGATTAGGATACGTATATACGCAATTTTCATTCTGTCTATTTCGGTATCAAGATTGTAACATTTCATATATAACAAAGTTCTCTTAGTAGGGAACAGGTGGAGCGGTTTTCACATTTTTCAGGTCTTCTGTTTATAGATATGGGGAGGGGTGTCTATGTAGGCATATATATGGTCTATCGCTGATACTGAGCCGTCCTGGGTCTGACGATAAACTATATATGGTAGTTTGGCCTCTGATCAGGAAGATTTGGTGAGCGTGGACCTGTTAATTGCTGATGTTCCCAGGTCCAGGTTGGTAGAACCTGTTAAATTTACACCTATGGCCAAATATAAAACCCCTATACTGAGGTCAAATATAGAAATACATTAGAATAACTTATAAACAATATATTTTTATAGCAAAAAATAAACAGAAATGCATTATGGAAAAAAAGTTACAAGCAACACATTTTTAAAAAATGCCAAAGCTCGCAAGAAAATAAAATTTCGGCATTAAATGACCCATGAGGAGTTGATATATATGTATGTATGTATCGCAGCTCATCAGTGTTGCTAGATATCCGATTGTTTCAAGCCGGGATCGTAACCCAACTGATTTGGTATCAGTCAGAGATTCTATCCCCAAGCTATCGTCGCACAACAGAGGGAAGGGGAAATTTTAACGTTTTTACTATTAAAAAAGATGTCAGTGGCTAGGAGAGCTCGATTCTATTTGAAGAGCATTGCATTAGCAGCAGCAGCTACTGTTTATAAAATCACCCCTTATGTGCAAACAGATGATTTATATTTTTATATAGTAAATGAAATGCACTATGTGGATTACATATACACAGACATAATCGGTATTTATATATTGTATAATATACGTGGTGCGTGTGGGTAGCATAACGGTTATCGAGGAGGAAGGTAGAACAAAGTTCAAATTGCGGCCGAGTTGACAGATGCCCTTGAGCAAAGGTATGAGCAGTAGGGTAGTCTGGGTTCCCTAGCCTTAAGTGGAAACCAGGCAAGAATAAGGACAACTGTGAATTCAGAAACGTAGAGAAGGGCATCAGGAAACTTATCTACTATCTGACGCAAGAAGTCGAGCCAATTCACAGATTATAAAGAAACTGGTTCTGCGGTATAAATTTGAAGGGGTATAGTACAAAGAATACGCTCCCCTCCGCCCAGAAAGCAATGCTTCATCTACCGATAACGGAAGCGCAATAGTGCCATTGTATAGAGCAAGTTTATTATTTAGAGGTTTCAACGTGTACAACTATAATACCATCATTCTCCTTTGAAATCCTGGACCAACCAGGAAAAGCGGTATAATAGTAATATATATATTATATATTATATATGCTTATCTTCTAAAACACACTCACACATACACATACGTATACACATACATCTATATGCTTACGGCCATAGCATGTTGAAACACCGGTTCTCGTTCGATAACCCAAGTTAAGCAACGTTGAGCTTGGTCAGAACCTAGATTGGTGACTGCTTTGGAATACCAAGTGCTGTAGCTTGGATCTTTGGGTGATGTAATGGATAAACACTCGGAATTGTAGAAGGGAGAATAGAGTTCTAATTCCAGTTGGATTCGTTATCTTTACTTACGGAAAAATGCTCTTGGAAAGGATCCCAAAAATATGCCCTATGTTTTTTTTTATGAACTCTCATGTCATTTTGGCCATCAAATTTCGAATATCAGTAGTAAAAACATCAGCATAACATCCACGACAGTCTCACATAAGTCGAATTGTCACTTTTCGAAATTTAGTGAAATTCGTGCACGAAAAACGTGATTCTCAATATATATATATATATATATATATATATATATATATATATATTGTTATTATTATCATTATTATTATTATTATCAACATCATCATAAAAGATTATAATAAAAACATGTTGCTACAGACAGTGGAATTTCACTTCATCTGTTCTTTCTCTCATTTGTGTATATATAGTGGGTGTGGGGGAAATAAATATTCGTACACATGAAAAATTGTATTTTTATAAATGTAATAGCCTTAACTAAAACAAATTTTGATACATTTTATATGTAAAAATACATTTTATTAAAAAATAGTAATAAACTTAATTAATTCTTATTCTAACAGAAATTAATGCATTTTTTTCATTTTAACTGATGATATGTTAATAATAATAATAATAATAATAATAATAATAATAATAATATATATATATATATATATATGTATAATTATATGTATATATAAGGGTTTTGAAAATAATTTCTTGTTTTTAATTAATTTCTAAAATCGCATATAAGTGTCGTAGTACTATAACCTTCTGGAGCCTTCTAGAACTTGTTTTTGTTTATTTGTAAGTTTGCATGTTATGCTCTAGCTATAAACTGATAAATGCGTTAAAAATACATAAGCACTATCAAATTCCGGGCTAGTCTGTTGCGTTCACTTTCACAAAAATGCCCTTGGGTAACAAGTATGAATCCATCTTTATGCTAAGCCTTAAATAGACTGGGCTTTCTATTTCTAGCCTTGTTGTGGAGGGCGGGAACACCACTATACGAGAAGGAAAATTTTGTATTCCAAACAGCGGAGAAAACGTCAGAAAACCGCTATATCTTTTGCGTCCAAGTGGCTTTATTGCCTTGATAAGTGTGAAATGATTACAAACACATAGTAATTTACAGATCATAAAGAAAGGGAAACTGCGGAGGGACATGATCGATTGCTGAAGTGAAATGACATTAAAATATTAAAGAGGAACAAGTATCACTTTAAACTAACCCTTGTGTTTTTGTTTGCATAAAGTAAATCTAAGCAAAGCATTTTAATGTATTCCATATGTGTCTAGTAATGTTAGGGGACAGAGAGAGCAAAGGTTAACGGAAATGCATATTGACCTGTATGTATAAACAACATTTTATCGACTTCATCGATATGAAGAGAGAAACGCTCAAAACATACAGTCGATCAAGTTACATTTATGCATATTTAGATCTGGTAGCTGAAAAATATCGATGCCTAAATAGGTTTTATGTTATGTTTATATATCGGTATCCAAACATCAATGTGAACGCCAATCTAGTAGATAAGAGTTCGATCCTCATTAAATGTCGAAACACGGGGCGCTGTGGAGCAGATTAGTAAATATTAATGGATCTGCCTATCGCCTGATATAACTGCATATTTCCCAGCGGGCCAAGAGGTTTGCTTGCTTGAATCCAGAGAATAGCTATCTTTTTTTTTCAGTACAAAGTAGAAAAGCTTTTGCCCTTAAAAGAACGTTGCAGCACAATGTTTTGCGTATTCTCTGCCAACGAGTTTTGTTTTAGACTGGACCAAGTTTAATAAATCTATACGACGGTTTATAGAATAGTTTTCGGGCCGACCAACTTTCTTAAAATCTGATCAAATATCTGAATTTTTTTCTAGATCCCTTCTTGTTTCATCGGAGAACTTTGTATCATCACTTCGTATCAATGTCTCTGTCTCTGTCTGTCTGTCTCTCTCTTTTTTATATATATATATATATATATATATATATATATATAATTATTTATTTAAAAGTATGATTCAACTCACGACATAAGAGGTCTCATGTTTCAAAACAGCCGAAAACTTCAATATAATTATTTGAATTAAATTGAATTAAAGTAAGCTCTGTTCCATCTTCGAGCGAAATTTTTTTTTTTTTGAATAACTTATTTCTGAAATTTACGTGTTTTAATAGTATATTCATAATTGAAATCAAAATTTCCATGGTAACAGCCAGAGCGAATTGTTTAAAGTAGCTCGAGGTGTGTTGGGTGTTAATAATAAGTATCAGTATAGAGTTACTTTCACAGATGTCAAGTCAGGGTAAGGTGGAGGTGTCTAAATTTGAAACGGAAGATGTTTTCGCCTAGTCTGGTTTACGTGTCTATGGAGATTTATTTATTTTTTTATTTTATTTCTTTATGAAAGGGATTTGTGCATATAAAAACTGTCGTAACATTTGATTTTTGACGACTTTATAAAGGGTTATCTTTTTTGTAGGGTATTTAAACTATTTATTTGGGCAATGAATTATAAAAGTTATTATATTGTATGCTTGATTTTAGCTAATTATTCAGTGCATAAATTTGATGATATATATATATATATATATATATATATATATATATATATATATATATATATATATAAACAAATAGATCGTGAATTTAACATAGCTTGTCTTGACGAATTCTTCATACCTAATATATTTGTTCTAAATAGATTTTTACTGTAAATGTAATTTTCATAGGGCACACGTGTTTCAGTTGCTATCCTTGTATTTTCTTTTATTTTCTAAGACAGTGAAAGTAATAACAACCGCCCTAGATCGATTTGTTTTGTTGATTTTCTCTATCTAGGCCGGTTGTTAAATTCACATGGTTTAAGAAAATACAAATCATAGATAACAACCCAAACACGTGTACCAACTAAAACTAAAGTTTGTTTATATATATATATATATATATATATATATATATATTATAATTTTTTATATTGATAAAAACAGTTTACTCAATACAAAGATACAACTTCGTTTCGGTGCATTTTAATTGCACCTCAACGGATGAGAACCAAAATGGTTATGAACAATTCTACTCGTAATCAATCCGTATGTGAAAAACCGTATGTGGATTTTTTTCACATATGGCTTGCTTACGGGCAGAATTGGTTCTCACTAGTCGAGGTGCAATTGAAATACACTGAAACGAAGTTGCATCTTTGTAATGAGTAAACTGTTTTTGTCTAAAAAAAAAAGAAATATAATAAATAATTATTGATCCACTATCGGTATGGGCCCCCTTTTGAATTAATGCTGTGAACGTTAGAATTTATATATTATTTTCGTTTTCAATGCATTGGGTATATACATGTTGTTAATAATGTTGTTATCTTTTTTGTGGTCGTACATTTTGTATGCCTTTCTATTTGCATTGTGGATAAAATAATGCGGATATTTGAGGTTTTTGAAAGTGTTTCCACCACTGTAAGAAGAACAAATATGGGTTAATTATAAGATTCTATTTAAGAGCACTAAGAATTATTTAATAAATTCACCTAAACATTCCCACGAATATATATATATATATGTAATATTTTTTTTTAAATTTATAACATATGTATGTTATAAAATCACAACAAAAATAGCCATTTTGTTTCAGCACCCCCGGTGTCTTATCAAGTGATGATGTTGAATGTAAAATAAATGATTTTAAAAGTTTCAAATTAATTAACGAACCTTCGCAAGGGGAAAACGTTGTTACAAAAGATAGAATGACCAATCAAAACCCAAGTATAGGAAGATTCAAAAGCTTGACAACGAAATCATGTTATAACAGCTATTGTTGGTTATTGGAATTCATTCCGTATACACCAATTATATACTTGTATATATATATATATATATATATATATATATATATATATATATATATATATATTTAATTAGGGTGGCAATAGTAAAATCAATGTTATGCCCAGCATTGTTTCTCTACAATGCGAGATTTAGATCGTTTGTCCAAACGCAAATCTCTCTTGTGTTCATAGATCACGTGATGTCTCAGTGACATAAACATTTTTGCATTGTAATCAATTTATTTGATAATTCCCAACATTTGAAATGGCGTTGGGTTTATTTTTCTTTCTAATTACATCAACAATTGTCTTGGAGATTGTGGTAACGATCCTAGTAATAAGGATGACTAATTTGTTTACGAGTCTGGTAGAAAGAATGTTAGAGGGCAGGATAATGAAATTTCTGTAATTCTTTTAGAAGTGTTATTAATAGTGTCTGTTTTTTGGCTTAAAAACGTGTGCTCCATGAAAATTACATTTACAGCAAAACGAAGTCACGTCGGATCCCAAAATCCATTCAGAACAAATATAAATATATTAGGCATGAAGAATTCGTTAAATTCAAGATCTATCTGCCTTTTTTTGTTTTGTTTTGCTTACTGTATTTTGCCAATTTTCGGCTCAAATGTCGTACAAAATTATCAATAAATTATTGATCAAAATTATGGATAAATTGCTTGAAGTTTGTTCTGCACATAAAACTTAAATAGACGGAGATTACCGGTTAGATTTAAAAAAAAAAAACTTGCTTTATATATATATATATATATATATATATATATATATATATATATATATATATATATATATATATGTGTGTGTGTGTGTGTGTATGTGTGTATTACTATGAAGTTTTTTTTACTTGGTACAACGTGTTTGAGTTGCTCTCTCTGATTTTTTTAAATCGTTCAAAACTTCTGAAGGTCGCTTGAGACTGAAACATTGAGTTACGATTAGGGCCATCGTTTCATAGGAATAAGTGTCATCAAGTAAACACTTGCTCTGTCTAGGTAACCTAGGCATTGAGCACTTTACTAAATAGTTAGGTGTTTATATTTAGAACTTTTTTCTTTTTTCTTATTGCTGTCCTTGTTCGAGATTGTATTTTGCTTAATGGTAGGTAGGTAGGTATTTTA